CGCAAAAGTAGATTTGTATTTGTCTCTGTATGTTTCTTTTTTTATATTTCATTGAAAGACTGTACCACAAATCATTTCCCACAAGGCTGTGATTATCCAAGTCAAGGCTGGAAACTATCATAGAATCATAGAATCGTCTAGGTTGGAAGAGACCCTTGGGATCATCGAGTCCAACCATCTACCCTACTCTACAAAGTCCTCCCCTACACCATGTCCCTTAGCACTGTATCTAAACGGCCCTTAAACACAGCCAGGGACGGTGACTCCACCACCTCCCTGGGCAGCCTATTCCAACGCCCTATCACTCTTTTGGTGAAAAATTCTTTCCTAATGTTCAATCTAAACCTACCCTGTTGGAGCTTGAAGCCATTCCCTCTCGTTCTGTCACTAATTACCTGTGAGAAGAGACCAGCCCCAACCTCTCTACAGTGTCCTTTCACGAAGTTGTAGAGAGTGATGAGGTCTCCCCTAAGCCTCCTCTTCCTCATACTAAACAGCTCCAGCTCCTTCAGCCGCTCCTCATACGATTTGTTTTCCAGCCCCCTTCACCAGTTTCGTTGCCCTCCTCTGCACTCGCTCCAGCACCTCGATATCTCTCTTGTATTGAGGTGCCCAGAACAGGACACAATACTCGAGGTGTGGCCTCACCAGTGCCGAGTACAGGGGCACAATCACCTCCCTACTTCTGCTGGTCACACTATTTTTGATACAAGCCAGGATGCCATTGGCTTTCTTGGCCACCTGGGCACACTGCCGGCTCATATTCAGCCGCTTGTCAACTAGAACCCCCAGGTCTCTTTCTTCCAGGCAGCTTTCCAGCCACTATAGCTCTTCCCATTCTAGAGTAAAAACATTCTTACCCTCCCTATGTCTCTCTCTCTCTGTATGCATGTGTGTGTACACATACACATCTACCTGTATCTATCGTTACAGTTTAAGGGGAAAAAAATCACAAAGTAGTCATCAGTCAGTTTCCAACAGTAGCTCACAAAATAGGTAGCCCCAGTGTCCTGGACTCTACGGTGCCTGCAGATGAAAAAACAGAATTAGCACATCATTCAATCTTTGAAACAAGAGGAAAGAAGTCTTCAATACAGAGGAGGATGATGCATGTATTTCCCCCCTGAAGCTGTTCCCAAACTGGGGAGTATGGAGGAAAAGAGGTGGACTACTGGTTCCTCATTGCACAAGGCGTTAAAGGCAGCAGCAAATATAAACAAAGAAATAACATGGGAGAAATTAGGAAGCACAGGGATGGGTTCTCGCAGTGTAGGGACTTTCTTGCACTTCAAAGGGAATAAAATATGCACAGCAGTAGAAACTCTAGTCCCTGGAGTGGTAATGTTTGAACATAATCTAGCTCATATAAAATTAGAATCGGTTAAGTCTGCACAGTCTTGCTGCAGCAGGTCAAAGGTTTCTTCTTGCAGCATCCCATCCCCAGTTGCTGCGAATGTTTGGACAGGCTCTGTATGTGACAATGTGGAGATGTGTCTGACTTTAGCAGCAGGATCCCAGCAGCACAATTGTTTCCACGTGTTAGAGGTGCAGGGTGGGTGAGGAGGGGCAGAGCATGTGAAAGGGATGAAGAAAATGAGCATAACTCTGAATTTGCAATATTATCAGTGTGAATTCTGCAAATCTTAATTTCTAATGCACTCAGACACCTGCCTGGGACATTTTCAGCCTCAGAGTTTCAGACAGAAGCCTCTGTGACCAGCAGAGGTTATCTCTGCCTTTTATACAGGGACTACCTGGAACTTGCATTTGTGTGAAGTCACTTGGTGTACAAAAAACTCAAGTCCAAAGAGCAGCCTGATTTTTCTACCAATGCTCAGAGCGTGCTTAGCTCACTCAGACTGCATTGCATTTAGTGATAACCGCTTTGGTGATTGCACCACCTCCCTTTTGCACAGCTCCTGCATGGCAGCATGCTCATTGGTTCCAGACACTGGAGACTGATTCCAGACCCTCCTCCGCTCAAACAGAGGATTTGACCCCCGTCTGTTACAGAGCTGGGGACTGATGCTTTCAAGGGAGCAGGCCTTCCTGCTCTCCTCCTGAGTATCAATCATTTTGGATGCAGAAATAGAGCCAGTAAGATGGAGTCTCTAGTGCTTAGGGTAGGCAGCTGGGGGAGATGAATCCTTGCACACCACTTACTGCTGTTCCCTGGATTAGAATCATAGATTCATAGAATGGTTTGGGTTGGAAGGGACCTCAAAGATCATTGAGTTCCAAACCCCCTGCCCTGGGCAGAGACACCTCCCACTAGAGCAGGTTGCTCAAAGCCCCATCCAGCCTGGCCTTGAACACCTCCAGGGATGGGGCATCCACAACTTCCCTGGGCAACCTGTTCCAGTGTCTCACCACCCCCAGAGTAAAAAATTTCTTCCTGAGATCTAATCTGAATCTTTTTTCTTCCAATTTAAAACCGTTTCCCCTTGTCCTATCACTGCACTTCATGGCAAAGAGTCCTTCTCCAGCTCTTCTATAGGCACCCTTGAGGTATTGAAAGGCTGCTATAAGGTCTCCCCGGAGCCTTAATCTTCTAATTAATCTTCTTTTTCATACAGTGGTTGTCTACACTTCACAACACCAGAGCTAACCTCCATTAGTTTTTGCGTTAAGAAGTCTTGAGATCCATGCAGAGCTTGGCATAGCAGTTGTGCATCTGAATGACAATAGCTCTAACTCAGGACTGGCTCTTTAATTCTTCCTAGAAAAAAAAAAGGATGAGATAAATATATGTAGATTACTTGGGAATGTGATTAACTGCCTTTAAAATTCTGTTTCTGTGGGATGTACTGTTGATCGGCATCTAAAGGAAGTATTATTTCTGACTTGGACAAATGATAGGTGTCTCTTTGTCTTTTCACACATATTTTTAATTCCTACACCTCTCCCAAATGGTCTATTAAAAAAAAAAAAAAAAAAAAGGGAAAAAAAAAAAGAAGGTACACCAAACCATTTTGAAATATTCATTCTTAGTGCAGGCCAGACAAGATTAGTTATTCTCATTAGTGAACTCTGATCTTTTGTATTTTGATGTACATAAAGAGTCCTCTTCATATTATAGAAGCACCAATGACCATTTTCACTGCATTAGCCTGCTTGCTAACATAGTTTGCAGACAAGTGATTATCTGTCCTCTCTCTTTTGAACCATAACTAAAGATTGTGACCCTTTGCTTGCAAAAGAAAAGGGCTATTTGGATTTCCAACCAGCTTATTGCACGTGTGCCACACAGCAAACTTACTGGGCTGCTACTTTCCCACTCAGCCTGCTGCACTTCTCTAAGTCTTTCTGTCTCAATGCCTGTTAGCTATAATGCAATATGTTTTAGAAGGCTGCCAGTCACTTTTTACCCTGGATATCATCTTTTCTTCTTTTTCCACAGCCCTTGTATTTTAAATAATTACAGAGTCAAAGAAAGGCAGACACACCCTCCCTGACCTTTTTAATGGCATTTGGATTTTTCAAAAATGCCTATGGCCCAAGTCAGAGGAAAAATTCCTTGCTAAACAGAACAGTGTTTCCTAAAGGGTTTAATACTGTTTCAGACAAAGACAGTAAGAAACCACTGTCTTTAAACATGTAGGACTAGGCACTGAAAAGTTGTCACTCACCCACGGAAGGGAGCTCAGGAACCTCTCTTTTCTCATATCAGATCCTAAGAACTGAGGTGAGAGACACAAAGTAGCAGAGCACAGAACTATTCCTGTAAGACAGTAACCCCTTATCTTTTATTTTTCTCCTTTTTCACAAAAATATTCTGGCTGCAATCTACACTTTCATGTTTGAGTTTCAGGGCTTCATGGCAGATCTGCAAGGACTTGCTGAATAGGTCTCAACTAAGGCTCACGTGAAGGCCCAGTGCAGGTTGTGGTGTACCATGGACATCAGTGGACTTCACCTCTCCTTTATTGCCACGAGCACTGTGATGGTAGCTTACAGAAGTCCTGATAGAGGCCACCAGGGGACAGTCAGGCTCAGGATCAGCTGTCTGGTAGAAGTTCTCCAAGCTCAGAGGGCAAGGTGAGATTTAAGGAAAGTCAATGGGGACATCTCCAAGAAAACAGTGAGTTCTTCAGTTTAATGATTCATGTAAGGCTTGAGCCAGCAAACCATTTTTATATCTATGGAGGTTTAAGTGCTTAACAGACCCACTGTATCTGGGACCAGAATAATTAAAATTTGCTTGGTCATGGGCTCTTTTGCTCTGGAAAATCATAGATTACTTCTGATGATAGATGCAAAATGCATTATAAGGCTTTTGTTACAAGCAAAGGGTACCAGAAAAGGTCTAGTGTTTCCTCCTGGTCTCCATGAGTGCAATCCCTCTAGCTCAAATGTAACACCACCACTGCTGGGACTGATGGCTTTCAAAAGCAAGCCAAACTGGACTCAGAAACTTAATTAAAAAAGAAAAAAAAAGAATGCATAGGGTGTTGACAGTTGAAAGCCTGTATCACATCTTACCTTGAGCAAACCACAGGATGGTCACAGTTGAACCAGATTTTCTCTGAGGGAAGATGGTGCCTGAAGGGTGAGGTGCAGTGAGGGGGAAAAGGAGAAAGCCTTCTCAGGTACTTTAGAAAGGCAAAGCCCCACAACATTATCTGGACAACTGGACATTGCCCTTCTTGTTGTTCAATTTAAGCACTTGCACAATAATGGAGCTTAAGTATCCAGAGTGGTGTCAGGGTAAGAAATCAGGAAGCCATTTCATCTCTAAGCACCATTTGGACTCTTTCTCACTACTCTCCTGTAGTTTTCACCTGAAGCCTCATTTTCTTTTGCTTCAATACACCTCTTGAATTTTGTCACAGGTAGCACTTGTGTGCTTCATTCAGCACTTACTTACCTAAAATACCAATAAAAAAGTATCAAAATATGGATTTATAAATTACTTTGGGGCATTTGGTTTTGAAGAATAGTTCCTCCTTTTTTTCAATGTTAATATGAAGATTGCCTGACAAAGCCAAAAGGAGAATTTGAAAGTTTGATTCATTGTTTAATATCCAGTACTAGCTATTTACAAGTACGTTTTGTCTTGTCAGTCATAATTTCTGTTATATTCCTTCCATGCATTTTTTCGACTCAACAGTTAAATTAGATAATGTTAAATTCACCTCAACATTTACGCCTGGCAACAGCCTTTGTGGTCACAAGGCGATGATTTCATTAGAGGAATGGAGCAAAAGTGGAAGGAATGTGGGGTGTGAGAGGGGAAAAAAAAGCTTTTGTTGAAACACGAATATCTTCTGTGAGACCGATTTGAGCAATTATAACTCTGGCACTATGATAGTGAGGGGATGTGGGAATAAATATCAGCCAAGCTCTTCTCTTACTATAAATATTCTCTCTTTTTCTAAATTGGCTCAGGCATGGTCTCTGCTCAGAGCCCTCCTTTCTCCTCACCAGAGGACTGTGATCAGGTCCACAGTGCTCTGCCACATCCCGCAGCCACGCAGAAGCACTGCAAACGGTCACCCAAATTTCGTGTCACAGCCCCCCAGCACCCCATTTTGCACCAGCAGAAAACGCCAGTGGTAGCACAACCCGGGGTGGGGTGACGGGACATGCTGGATATAGCAGTTACCCTTAAAACATTCCCCATTCCTTAAATAACAGCATAGCATTGCTCGTGTGCAGCAGTCTCTATACCCACGCTTAGAGGTCACACATATTTTGTGGTATAGTTATTTGGTTATCAAAGGTATTGCTGATGTTTCGGATAAGGATCGGAATTTTCTATATATAATTAACAGTGGGGGGTGGTGCTTTTTTGGATAATGGGATTTTTAGATGCTGAAGGTTGAAAGAGATTGGAAAGACGCACATATAATCTTTCATATAAAGTAGTCTGGTGATAATGCCCGGCTCACGCTCCCATTGCTCGCCCTTTGATGTTCAGACCATGCATCAGATGTGAGAAGAATGACTGACAGCACTGAAACAACGAGTGGTGTCTAATGAGCTCACTGGGGCTCATCACTCCTAGTTTTGACATTTTAATCTGAGCCCGTCAGCTTCTAACAATTTGATTTACCCTTTTGTTTGCCCACAGCTCTGTGTTGTTCAAAACTGGCCATCTCCAAGTCTTCTCTGGAAGACAGAGACAGTCCTTCCCATGTACCACAGACCTCTCCAACCAATATCTGTGGGTGTACTTGTCCCCTGTTGTTTTGCACAGCCATTTAGCTCCATGATTTCACTTACAAGGCCAATGTCTTTTGCCTGCCTTCACATCCCATACGTATTCCCGATGAGGAGGCAGTGGAAAAGAAATCTGGCTTTGCCCAAGCAGTCACAGTAACTCCTGTGTAGACCATGGGACAACTTCCCTGCCTGGCAGACCTTGGAGACCCCCTGCAACCTCAGTGTGCTTCCCAGAGCTGCTGCTTATGGCATTTGCTGCAGACTGGATGGAGCTGAATAGATGGACCAAACACTGGACACCTTTGTTATTTTGAGATCTGTTCACCCTAAAAATGACTGAAAATCATTCAGCTCCTCAGGGCATTTCTTTCTGCAATGGTCCTACAGGGAAAAGCAGATAATGGCCTCACCTGCTTCTTACAGAGAAGCACTGGATGCCCCTGTTCTGCTGGACCCAGCAGCTCTGATGCCTTGGCTGTGGGACAGCTTCACCTGTGGGTGACGTCTGGGCTTGTGCTGACCCTGCCACAGCCTCCTACATCCTTGTGTGTGTGCACAAAGGACGCATGGGCATATGGCCCAGCCAAGAGCTGTACGATTCTCCAAGCAGCTGCCAAGCTGGATGGTGAGTCAACCAGGACAGTCACAGGTCAGTGTTATTCCCCTGTGCCTGGGATTGCTTGTCTTTAAAAGGCAAAATGGTAGTCACTTGATGGCCTTAGAGCCATATATATAAATAAGTCCTTGTTCTGCTCATTATTCTGGTGGCTTTGGCTCTGTAGATCAACAGGTCTACCCGAGTTAAGAAAAGATTCCATTTAGTACATGTCATTTTAATCTTTGATTAGTTTTTAGTGTTTGAATAATGGCTTTTGTGACAGATGTAATGTGTCACATTTCCAGGCTTTTAGAAGGGAATAGTATGTCTCATGACCTTTCACTTTTCAGGAGTTGCTCAGCCACTGAACTGTGAAGCTGCGTGCTGCAAATAATCACTTCAGCTGGCTAGGGCTGGGTAACCCCAGCTCCACATTTCATATCCAGTTCACTTTTCAATGATTTATTTGTAATTTCTGCTAAACCACAGTTTAAGTTATCCAGCGCTTGGCTGCTAGATCAGTAACAGATAACCCTTGCCAACAACACAGTTTGTTTTGAAGGCCAGTATAACTAGGAGACTGAGAATAAATTGGTAGGTTAAGAGGTCGTATGTGGGAACTGATGCCCATCCTCTGTCCGAACGCCAGCTCCCAGAGAGCAGTGCTGTCATCCAGCTGACCTTCCTCTCTTTCCCCCTGCTGCCCTTGGCTTAAAGTAAAAGCACCTCTCTATAGTCAGAGCTCAGCCTGAAAAAGAAGAAACTCACAAAAACATCCTTTCAGAAAAAAAGAAAGGCTTCTTAAAAACAAGTCCTTGTGCTTTTGCCTTTGTCACAGCCCGCACTTCAGTACCAACACCATCCAGGATATTTTGTGCTTCAGCCCCTCAGATCCAATCCAGCCTGGTTAGTCCTGTCCTTGCTGCAATCATACGCTGGGAGCATCGGTGTCACCTCCGGTGACTTCTTGGGAGCCTTCCCTGCCAGCAGCACCCCAGTCCCCTCACTGCTGTGGTGGGTACGTCCCTAGGAGTTGCACTCCTCGCAGTGGCAGGAGAGGATGTAGCGGTAGGTGGCCGTGAGCCGCATGCCCCCCGAGCATCTCAGTCGCATGGCCTTCAGCTTGGAGGTCTGGGGCCGGCAGCAGTGGCAGGTGGAGCGGAAGGGCTGCTTGAGGACAGTGCTGAAAGAAACCATGGGCTCCGAGCGGGACGTCTGGCTGCAGCGCCCTTCGCAGCGAGCCAGCAGCACCATCTGTGAAGGAAAAGAGACGGGTTAGGAAACGTGTCCCTGTGGCTGCCAGTGCAGCTAGCAGTGGCAGATGGGCACCTCCTTCCAGTCTGGCTGGTCTTTCTTCACTTATTGCATCTCCACACCTCAGCAAGAGCACTGAGCCCCACAGAGTGCGTTGTCTCTGAGCCGTATCTGAGAAACCAGAGGAGGTAAGGCAGGTGGGAAGAAAAGAGGGTCTCCTCCCAGGGTCCCAGGCACCGACACCATTAAGAACTACAGGGACTGGTTTTCTGAAAGCTGACTTTGGGACTCTAAATGATCACAGCCAGCCCTGCTTTCCAGGCATGGTGACTGCAACTGTGACTTGCTGACCCCAGATCTGTGGCAGCCAAAGCCCTTAAATCATTAGCCAGACTGATACTTTGGTTGGATATTTTCCAGCATTATGAGTGTATATATTAGTGATCAGCAAAACTGGTTCTTAAGGCCCATGAATGTCTCAAATTATTAGGTATATATAATATAAAGTAGAAATATAAGGAAGATGCTCAGTTTATTGCTTCTCCTAGTGATCAGCAAAACAAAATTATTAGGTCTATAAAATATAAAGTAGAAGTATAAGGAAGATGCTCAGTTTATTGCTTCTCAAGAAGCAAGTTTCTAGCTCCCTCCCTTTACAAAGATCACATTGAATATGTACTTGCAATTATATGTGTGTGTATATATAACTGCATCAGCTGTATCTGCATAAAATGCACTGCATAGTGTAAGGCAGTGAAAATGTAAACAAGATGAACTCCTTGACAAACGTGAGGGTTCACTAGTGAGCTTTTCCAAAAGCAGTGCAGGCTCCATGGTTCTTCTCCTCCTGGGTTCACCAAGTTGTGACCAGAGCAAGGTAACTTGTACAATAAGAGGCACTAAGGAGGAAAAGCCCATGGGCAGTCATCTACTCCCCTTCCCACAACCCTTTGTTGAGCAGAGGAGAGGGATAGAGTCTCCTAAGCTCTACAGAAGACATGGAAAGGATCTTCTACAGCTCAGGAAATCGTGTGGTCAGAAACAACCATTACCATCTTGATAAGGGATAAGTCTTGGACATGGTTGAACAAACTCTTCTACCTTCATGGGGAATGAAATATTATTTAAGTCCAGATCAGCTAATTCTCATTAACCAACATAAACTTCAAAATGAACTTATTGTATCACCCAAACAAGGTCAAAATGTGACAGAGGTGAGAAAGTAGGCAGTAAAACAGTCATAAGTCTATGCTTTAACTAAGGAAGAAAATTACATTTTAACCATGCTGCACATATCTCTTGGTTTTTCCAGACAATCTAAGAGGATAACTACAAATGTGACAGCAAATATTTTACAACATTAAACACTTCTGAGCTTCTTCCACTACACATGATCAATTGGCTGCAAATCTCCAAGTCTTTCAAGAAGGTATGCCGAATTCTTAATTTTCTCTTTAGTCAGAGTCGTAAGGAGGGATGAGAGAGAAAGACAGAGAGAATATTCCTGGTATAAAGCAGTAAATACCAACACCGCCTGTGCCCATGGAAAAGACACTGATCATCCATAAAGATCATCCTTGTAGAGTGCTTAAAAATGGATCTTCCAAGGGTACTTGCATGCTAAATGTTTTGCTTGAAAATGTATTGATATTGTAAGAAGTACAATTCAGTCAACACAGACAGATCACAAAGATGTCTTCACGAGCTGATGATCTGGAGTTGGTGCCATCTTTTTCCTTGGTCTAATTAAAATATGGGTTCTTGTGGGTTTCCAAAAATTCTACCATCTTGCGTGATTTGTAGCATAAATTTATGGTCCCTTTCCTGTGATGCTGCCTATTCATAAGCAAATGCATTTCAGCTGTTAGCAGTAATACGGCAGGAAGAAAATTTCAGTGTGCTGCTGCACCACAACCCAGCTTTAGACTTATCAGCTATGTCAAGCTCCTTAGTACTAGTGTCTTTAGCCTATACAAGAACAGGGAAAGGCACAGTTATGACAGTGCTAGCACTCCATTGCCGACAGATAAAGATCCACTGTTTCCCCCTAGTAAACAAAATTCACCTCCCATAGTGACAAGCAGGCAGCTGGTGAAGAGCTACTCAGATTATCTAATCCTGCCTGTATTGCAAAGGAAAGACAGCAGATTGGGACATTTTAAAAAGTTAGTTTCCTTCCCAGCATCTTGGCAGCTCTTGCTAGGTCCCTGATTTTGATCAAGTTCACTGCACTGTGAGCACGCTTTGTCACAGGCTATTCCCATGTGTTTGGCTGAAGGGGAAGGTGAGGAGCAATCCAACGGCAGCTAGCAACTGCTCAGAAGGGAGTTGCAAAGACCACAGAGTGAAACACTCCTCAGGAGTGGCAACAGGGGACATGCAATGTCCACAAGTTGCTTTTTCGGAGGTTCAGAGGACCTCCAGAGTCCTTTCCAACCAACATTTCTGTGATTCTGTGATTTGGAGATTCAGAGGACTTCCAGAGTCCTTTCCAACCAACATTTCTGCGATTCTGTGATTTCAGCCCAAATGTGACAGCACACAGTGCTGTATGATGGGGGTGACTTCTAACAGTTGATGTTTCTGGAGCTGGAACAGATAGTTGCTCTGGTACTGTTAGCCTAAGGGATTTTTATGGCAGGCATCCATTCCTGTATCTGCAGGTGCTTTCAGAAATGCCAGGAAAAAAACAAACCAACCCTCAAGAAACAGGATTAAGGATTAAGAGTTGCAAAGTGTAATTAACAAACCAACCCCCAAGGAGCAGAATTAAGGATTAAGAGTTGCAAAGTGTAATTATAGAGCAGAATTATCTGATGTGCCAATATCTATGTCTGAATACATTTCTTATGAACAGCAAGCCTTCTAAAGCAAAATCAGTCAGTATTTCTTCAATGTGCAACTGCATTTATAATTGTTTAGCAAGCCTTGTCTTTAAAAACATGTTTTATTCTGTGGAGACTCTAATTTTAATCTCCACTATTGCTGGTAACTTAGTTTTTCATAAGAGTATGGTCAGTATTCATATCATGTAAAATTACAGAGTGTTGGGTTTGTGCTCTAGTTTTGCATTACGGTGTAATTTTTTTACAAATGGCACTGCATCATGGACATCAAGTCAAGCTTACAGGATAAAAAAAAAATAATCAGATTTCCCGTTTTGATAGCTTTCTAAACTTCTGGACTAACCTGAAGTCCTCAGCAAAATTTAATCTCCTCCTCCTCATAAATCCAGAACAGCACCAGTGGGTTTTGGCAGGTGTGCAAATGAGCTGGAAATAGCCTGTACTTCAAAAGCTTTGCTTTGCCATTTAATCAATCGCACCAGCTGCTTATTGCATCGTATACTATAGCGCAATAGAGATTATCGCCTAAATAATTAGTAATGCTATGATGGCATAGCACAGTAATACAGTGGGTGTATATATAGTAAAAACATGTGGGTACTTTATAACCTGATATGTGTGCCTCCTGGTTCCCCTTGTCCCCCACACATGTGAGCCTGTGCCTGTCACCTTGTGATGCTGGATCCGGAAACACAGCACACTACAATGGGGGAAGCACGTGTATGAGCAGCTAGGGAAAAATAGGTTTTCTTTCTTAAAGTCAGCAGTCTCATAGGTATCTGGATGGCCACAAAAGAGAGCAACCTGAATCTGCAACAGTATTTGACTCTGATTATTTGGCCTATATTCCGGAAATTCAGAGGTTCTGAACTGGTTTGATATTAGCAGTGTTTGTAGTCCTCCTCAGTAACAAGCTGAGCCCCAAAAGCAGATGGGCTGAGATTCCTGAGAACAGACTTTCACACAGTATCCGTGGCCTGGCTGCGTGCAGGCCTTACCGAAAATCTCCTGAGCTACCTTGGGAGCAAATGCCTTCAAACACTTGCTAAATCTTTCTTCATCTGGTCCGTGTCTCTCTGGGCTGGATTCTTCAGTGTAAAACCTTCAGTGGTAGCACACTTCTGGCACATCTGGAGGAAGCACTTGTGACATCCAATACCATATTTTAGGAGGCTCTGATTGCAGCAGTGAGGCAATCCAGCACATGGAAGACCAGTGGATCTCCATGACAGAGGTCAGGCGGAATCCAGTATGGTCAGAAAGGCAATATCTCTTGAGCTGACACAAACATTTCCTTGAAGTCAAAGGAAAACACTGTTTTTCAGGAACAAATGACCCTCTTCCATCCCTCCTTTGTGTCTCCGTTATAGATTCTGTTACTATAATGGAGTTTGTTTCTGAAGGCTTTGGAAACCTGATTTCAACATCTGCCTGAGGTCACAAGCGAGAGGGATTTTAATGATTAAATTATATTGGGTGAATATTTCCAAACGTAACAGAACTACTTCCCACGTGGGTACAATTGGCAGCCTCCACAGAGAAGCACAGTGGACATAATCCTTTTTTAACCAAGACGGACAGCGAACGTAATATGTCTTGCAATTTCTGAAGCTGTTTTTAACTTCTGTAATTCTATGCTGAGCTAAAAGGGAAAATATACGGAGTGAAAAAGGATGGCTCAGTGGAACCAATATATCATGCCAAAAAAGGGCAACGTGTCTGCTTGACATCAGTTGTCAGTCCAAGCTTCACAATGGAAACTCAGTGGAAACAAGCAGTACCACAATTCCCACAGCTACTCCCACAGAACCTTCTTTTTTTCTGACTTGTTTATATTTTATCACAATATATATAGGAACAGACATTACGTCTAATTTTCATTAGCAAGTCTAATATTGGTCTGTGTTTATATACTAGATCCAGAACAGAAGCCATATGTCTAGCAGGATGATTCAGATCCCCAAGACCTTAAGAAAGAAGAGCTTGATTTAACAAACAGAGACAAGTTTTCTAGGAAATGTCAAAATTATTTCACTCTGTATGGAAACTGTTTTCATTTTCCACTTCATGAGAAAGTCCATACAACTTGCAGAATTGTTAAAAAACTCTTTTTGAAACCGTTGTGGAATTTGGGAAGCCAAGAGATGTGATAATATTTTCAAACATGATTTCCATTAAAGGCTTGATTTAAAAAAAGTCACTGACATTTTTTCAGTCAGTTACAAATGTTTATGTCAACAGCTTTTTTTCTCCAAGCTCAGTTTTGAAATAATATGGTTTTCATTATAATGCATTCTGTGTTCTCATTTCCATCAGTCCCACTCCGAAAAGCCTGATTGCTTTTCTCTGTCATTAGGGATGCTAAGAAGATGAGTAGTTGGTGGGTTTCCTTCCTTTCTTCCTTCCTTGGGCCATGTAGGAAGCAGTGCCCTGAGCACAAAAGAAAAACGTGGCCAGAGGTGAGGCACAGGCTGGCTGTGGGACAGGAAGGATGACATGGAGCTGCAAGGCTGACTGCTCTGGGGTGGCAGCCTTGGGGCGAGTGCTCAGCTGGCCCAGGGAGTTTGGACGTGGCAGTGGCCGCTGGAGAGCTAGAGGTGGTGCAGGGCCAAGCGGAGACAAAGACATGCTGTAGGAACCCACTGCAGCTGGAGAATGTTGGCAGGTAGATGATGGCCAGCAGGAGAGACCAGGACATGGGAACCCTTTGGCCCTGGGGCTGGAGAATCTCCGTCCTTCATCCTTCAGGACTGAATTGCCTCACGGGTTGCTCTGTGATCTGTTATGTCCTCTTTAGTCTGAGGCAGAGGGCTCAGGGCAGTCATACCCTACATTTCTCACTGCCCTGGTGAACTCACCACTTGCGACTCATTTGGTCTTCTGTGTGTAGAGGGGCAGAGGGACATCCTACCCAAAGCTGGAGACCAAAGGGACTCTGAGGGCTACTTACCATCTTCCCAATGTTATATACCACAGATCCTCCTGTTCTCTGGCAATGCAGGGAGCCAAGAATGAGGGCCAGCTGGGTGGAGCATCACTCTTGTGGACCAAACCATCATGGTAGCTATGGCTTCTCAGGTGTAATATTGCCAGGGAGGGGAGGGCTGACAGCACCCCCCTGCCAGGACATAGAAACCACCCACACTTTTTACCTTTGCCTTGCACTGGAGTCAACTGCAATAAAATAAATATGGCACAAATAGGTGCCTCTCTGCAGTTCTATATGGTAAAGCTGGAGGTTTCCCAGATGGGAAGAAGGTCTAATCTAGACTAAGAGCAAAACAAAAGGTTTCTCCTGAATCAGGAGTAATGCATGATTTTACAGAGCAGTAGGACAAAAGCCTGTGATGTCCTACCAGCCTCCCAGCGCTCTCTTACCCAACACAGGGCTGGCAAAAGTGTTGGCACTGGTAGTTGTTGCCTTTCCCTAGTCCAGGGATGTGGGTGCCTAAGGCAAAGCTACTTTTCGTGGGACAGAGGTATGGTCCAGGCGGAGACCATACATCTGAATATGCACTAGGTTAACTCAGTCGGAACAAATTAGGACAAGACAATAGGGACCAGCAAGGATTTTCCCTTTGTTTCTCCCCATTCTTTTTCTCCACACAATGAAATAAATGACTGTAGGCTATGTGCACAGGCTGCTAAACCGTTTTGACAGAAAATTTTTCAAGCTTGAAATCTCAAATGAAAGGCAATCTTGTATTTCCTTCTGCTTTCCAGCCCTATAATAAACATCTAATTGTCATTCTCCATGAAAACAAAGGCTTTGAAACCAAATGGGGAAAAAAAATTAGCAATGTTTTTCACATTCTTTTTTCATTACCATTTTACAGCTTTATTCTTTATCTCAGTACTTCAACTCGAAAGTTATAAGTTTACAGGCTCCAGATTAAAGACTCACTTGAAGGAGGGAATGACTGGGATGACCTAAACTTTCAAACCAGTCCATCCCCTTGGCACTGGCAGCTGAGTCCCCGACATCCTCCTTTGAATCTTACCATTTACTGCATGTTACCTTTACTATCATGGTGTGTTTTTCCTTTTGAAAGGGTGAAAAGAGATTCAAGAGCCCTTCTCTCCAGCCCGTTCTAATGGACACGCTCAGATGTCTCTACATCTGTATGTGTCTCCAGCTGGATTTTGGTAGTAAGGGATTTGTGCAGAGAGAATCACCCAAAATGCCTCTTTTTAACAACTCTGCTGATGCAGCACCCTGCTCCAAAGGGATGAGGGAAGCCCTTACCTTCGAGCTACACTTGTAGAGGGGGTGGCTGATGGAGTCGACATAGTGATGCCTCATACAGCGGCTAGGATCAGAGTCGATCATGAAGGAACTGTCTGTTTTACTGTCCGCATCTCCCATCATGGCCAGGAGTGAGAGCATGGAAATCGAAGCCGCAAGTACATGATTTCCCATTGTCGAGGAACTTCTCTCTGATAACAGCAGAGGGAGGTAGAGTATTAAAAGAACTCCAAATACTGGCAGCCAGTTCCTTTCCAGGATGGTGAAAAGTCTGGTTTAAGTCTCTTAGCTGTCATTCTTCTTCTCAAGTTGGAGTTTGCTGAGATTGTAATCCATCAAAGAATCTCCTGCGTAGCTGGAATAAAAACAACATAAATCACAATCCTGACCAAAAAGAGCTCTGGAGAAAAACAGACATAAATAATATTAAGGCACACAGGATTTTCACTAGCCAAAATATACGCTCTGTGTGAGCATCATTCCCACAGTAGGTAGAGTATATGGCATTAGGAAGGAGAAGTCAAGGCCTTGTTACTTTAAGCAATGCTCTATCACTTTACTAGGAAGAACCTTTTGACTTTTAACATCACAAGTGGTGCAATGCCAATCTTTTTCACTTGGTGATGTCCCTAATGGGTTCCCCTCAAAACTGGAGATTAGTGACACATCAGAGATTTCTGCAAATTGAAAGGACTGTATATCCACTCACAATGTCAAAGGGGAGCAAAACTAGGCTGTCTCCTGCATTACAGATGGGAATTTCTGGCCCAGACAGCACATGGGAAGACTGGAGGCAGGCTGACCTGCGGCTCTAGGGGCTGCACTTTGGTTTTGTGCAACCCCTGCGCTGCAAGGACGAGGGGCACTCCCAGGATGGAGGGAAGCTGAGGGTCCAAGCCCAGGCATGAGCAAAGAAGTCCCCCAGGAAGCTTGCTGAACACCAGCCTGCACTGCATGGGAACCTGCACCTAGGTCTCAGGCTGCCCTGCCCTCCCGAGTACCAAACCCCCACACACACAGCTGGGCATGCTTTACTTGCTTACTCATCAGGCTGCATTTCCTCAGTGTCAGTCTCTTCTCTGTTAATTGAAAAGCAGCATCTGAAAAATACATTATATTCCATAATTCCCAAGTACATTCCAGCTACCGATTGAAAAAAAATATATATGCAGGTGGAGTCACGTGGATACCCACCCAGGCATCTGGATTTCTGCCCCATGTTGGAAACCAGGAGATGCCCCAGAAAATAGGCACAGGACAGCCCCTAAATGCTGCCTAGTGCTCTGTGTTGGCAGGTAAAGAGGGCATCTCCTTGCGCTGCTACATCACAGCCCCTTGATCTTTCTTACAAAGCTCATAGTCTCAAATGGACGACTTGATTTCGCTTTTACTACAAACAGCTATAGCTTGAAAGAGCTGTGAATTCTCCATCTAAATATAACCTGCTGAAGCAAATCATAGTCATAAGCAAAGTTGAAAGTGCAAGGACTTTCTGAAGAAACTTATGATAAAACAGTTCCCTGATCACACAGAAATGCTCCCCCAGAGCCCCTTGCCTACTTCAAGAGCTGATGTGTGCCTTTATTACTTATACAAACCTCTTTCAAAACTTTTTTCTGGTTTGCTGGCAAGACTCTAAACCTACTGATACTCATCTCCCAAACAGCCTGAAATTACGAGGCCTCTCCACCAGAGTGCTTGATGATTTGTGTGTTGCTTTAGTTTGCTGAAACACTTTTGTGAGAGTGCATAGCAGTGAGAAACACTTCCAGAGTTCATCCAAGCTGGGAGTCAGGACTTGTCGAGCTGAAGTGACATACAAAGTCTCATGCTGGGAAGAAATGTAATTAGGGATGCTCTGTGTATTAGACATTTATTTAAAGCCTTTTTTGGGTTTCAAACTATTGTCCATGTGCCTAAATAGGAAAGGAAAAATTATGTGACTCTGGATTTAATAGACAATATATTTTTTTCATGGAGTCTGGCCTATGACCTGGTGTATTTTCCTCAAACGATTGTTTTTCAGTGGATATTGCATTAAAAAAAATACCGTATTTTTGCAGTATAAGGAGCTTAAACAATGCGAAACCCTTAGGATCTCAGATGCATTTATGCATCGTCTCATTCATGTCAATAAATATCCCTCCAAACATTTTAGCACGGTAAGAGAGAAATCTCCCGGTCATGGGAGCTGGGACAGATTCCTTCCCAGAAGTGACCTGTACTACTCTAGTTCATGCAGATGATGCCCAAGGATTAGCTAACAGGAGGAGTGATGAACTTTTTTTTTTTTATCTATTTAACCTTTTACCTACATTCCTATTCTTTATAAAGAGGCTGACCAAAACATGCTGCTTGGCAAGGACTCTCTCCAACATAGTTAATCAGTATTACACACCCAGTAATTCCCTTTCTGTCCAAATAAATTTACTTGATACTGGATGGTCTCATCTCATGTAAAATTATGTCCAGGGATCCCCATTTCCCATTCTCTCTGTCCCACTGTTAATTTTGTGCTTCTATATCTTTCTATGGTTTTGATCAGTATGATTTAATACAGTGAGAGAAATCTGGAGTCCTGGCTCAGTTTTCAAAGGCTTATCTCTCTAGTTTTCTTCAGGAAATAATTGGATGACATAGAGTCTGCCTCATGAAAACACTGAGAAAGCTGGAAAGAAGCAGGGAAAAATGTGAGAAAAGGAAGACGCTTGTACCTTCTTAAGGATAAGTACAGCACAATACAAAAATTACTAACACTTTCTCAATCTTTTAAAATTGCCCTGGTACTTCCCTGGCAAAGAAACGTAGCAGGTTTCAGTAACAAAACTTTGAAAGAAGAAAAAAGTACTGTTATCACATATTTGTCAGTAAAAAGAGAGACTGCGGATGAAAATGTGACCCATCTTTTGAGACAAAACTGTGTACAGTTGTTAATAGTCACACTGGCAAAATGAGTGTATAGGTATTGGAAGTGGGACTGCAAGACAACACTGGGTATTTGCAAATGCCAGAGTCTCCTGACATACCTATGTGAAGTATACACGTACGTTTTTCAAGTACATATGCCATATATAGAATCGTAGAATAGTTTGGATTGGAAAGGACTTTTAAAGGTCATCTAGTTCAACACCCTTGCAATGAAGATGGATATCTTCAACTAAATCAGGTGGCTCAGAGCCCTGTCCAACCTTACCTTGGATGTCTCCAGGGATGGGGCATCTACCACGCGTTCCAGTTTCTCACCACCTTCATTATAAATAATTTCTTCCTTATATCTAGTCTGAATCTACCCTCTTTTAGTTTAAAACCATTACCTCTTGTCTTATCACGACAGGTCCTGCTAAAAAACTTGTTCCCATCTTTCTTATAAGTTCCCTTTAAGTACTGAAAGGCCACAATAAGGTCTCCCCAGATCATCCTCTTCTCCGGGCTGAACAACTCCAACTCTTCCAGTCCATCTTCACAGGAGAGGTGTTCCAGCTCTCTGATCATTTTTGTGGCCCTCCTCTGGACACACTCCAACAGGTCCATGTCTTTCCTGTGCTGAGGGCTCCAGAGCTGCACACAGCGAACACAGTACTCCAGGTGGGATCTCACCAAAATGGAGAGGGGCAGAATCACCTCCAGCAGAAAGACCTGCTGGCCATGCTTCTTTTGGTGTATCCCAGGATACAGTTGACTTTCTGGGCTGTGAGCACACATTGCCAGGTCCTGTCTTTTGCCATCATGGAGAGTGGTTTGGCAACTACATTAGCCAATTCCCTCAGGACTCTGGGATGCACCTTGTCAGGTCTCATAGACTTCTGTATGTTCAGGTTCCTCAGGTGGTCACAAACCTGATCTCTCGAAATGGGAGGGACTTTGCTCCTCTCGTACTTGTCTTGTGGTCCCTCCACTCAAGAGATGTGGGGAGAGAGGCTGCCAGTGAAGAATGAGGCAAAAAAGTTGTTGAATACCTCAGCCTTCTCCTCATCCATTGTTACCAGTTCACCAGTCTTGACCATCATGAGGGGTACACTTTCTTTTTCTTCCTTTTCTGGCTGATGTACCTGTAGAAGCCCTTCTTACTATTCTTTGCATCCCTTGCCAAGTTCAGCTCCAGGTGTGTCTTGGCTTTCCTGACCCCATCCCTACACAACCAGGCAGCATCCTCCTACTCTTCCCAGGATACCTATCCTTGCTGCAACTGCCTACACATTTCCTTCTTGCCCTTTAGTTTGACCAGCATAAATATATGTAATTTATATGTATATATATATAATTCAGATATATGGGGAAAAACTCTCACAGGAACATTTAAACATACAGAAGTTAGCGTGCAGATTGTGTAAAAAAAGTCTAAATATTTTCACTCAGGTACATCACCGTGATGACGTATGTTGACATGACATTTTCCATTTCCAGCAGATACTGTGCAATGGCATTTAAGTTTAAATTAGCATTCTTTCTTTTTTTAAAAAAAAATTAAAATAATTGTATTCCTTGTCTGAAATTATAAAATTCTAGACAGTACATGATGTCAGGAGTGACATGTGTAGCTTCCAGTCTGTCTTTCTGTCCAAAAACAAGAGCAAGTACACCTGTAATCATTAATCATTGTAGCTGTACTTACAATGACATTTTATTTAATTTCAAAAATACACCTTTTTTATCAAAATCAACAATTTCACATAGAATTTTTTCTTTTTATTTAAGCTGGTTTTTCCTCAGTTTCTTTTCATGTCAAAACCTGTGGTAAAAAGGTCATCTGCCAAGCTAACAAAAAGGAAGCAAAAATGCTTCCTCTTAAGAGCATCCTGTAAAGAAAAAGATGCAAATGTGACTTCTTATTCTCAGGCTGAAAATTGGCTACAAAAATATTTGGCCTAACGGTGGGTGAAAATCATGAATTCCCATTTTTTCAGGATTCACTGATATGGGCATTACGTGTTCTTAGTTACAGGCTTATAATGCCCTTTCCCTATAACTAGTTTTCAGGAATTCATAGAGACATAACATGCTAAAAACTATTACAACTGTTACCTAAAACTGCTACAGCTGTTACCTAAAAACTGCAGGGAAAAAACAGGAGACATCCCAAAGAAAGACCATATGAACATACAATCCAAAACTGTATTGCACATGGACATAGGCGCAGAGGTTATTTTTCCCAACTTCATGTTGTTATTAGATGCATTTGAATGCTGAAATAAAGATTGCTTATCCTAGTCTTAATATCATTTAGAGAGTGGTGAAGGTTAAGATTTTGTTTTGCTTTAAGGACAGAAGAAAATTCCATCATCTGGAATTATTTAGCCAGTCACTTTGTGAGAACGTAAACAGAAATTCCCTTTTTGCTATGTATCTTGGAAAAAATAAAGAGCTGAGCAATTCTCCAAAGGTCTATTGGATCTGCACTGCTTTTACCCTGGAAGGTAGGAAGGGAGCAATGGAAAAGCTCATTTATGTTGTACTTCTACTTAGCTGTTCCCGGCTCCTGAGCCCCCTGAATTAGGCATGCACGTATGTTCAGCTTGGACTTCGTTTGCTGTGCATTTGCCATGTTTGAGACTCCTGCTTGACGAGGAGGGTACAATTCAAGTCACTCAATGACTTTTTATGTTTCGGAGGCTGCCAAAATCCCTTTGGAGCTGCAGTGTGTATATATAACTAAGCCTTGCCTTGCATGCTGTGCATATTTAGTAAACACAATTACTTGGATCCTACCATGTGGTTCCCTCATTCTGAATTTGTTATGTAAACAGAAGAGTTACAAGACTACTCAGTTTCTCCAAACTCTGGCCTTAAAAATTGTCACTAACCATATATGTGTATATATAGATGTATGTGTGTGTGGAGCATGTCCCTGCTGTTCTGGCAAAAAAGCCACAAAGATCTTTATGAGACCAAAACAGATTTCTCAAGAACTTTATCCAACCTGAAAAAGTTTAGGCCAGAAAGATGAAGATTTGAGGGTTTTGTGCTCCAAGATCTGCACTGGAGTAGAAACGATTGTGTTGGGCAAACTACACTGTCAGGTTACACCAGGGTTTGTTCTGCAGAGTTAAACTCCCCGCTGCCATCATAAAGGCTATGAAAGAGGCTCAGGGTGGGAAGACAA